TAGAGTTAGTTTTGATAATGAAAGAGTATAAGTGGATTTTGGCAGGGTTTATATTTTTAAATCAGAGTCCCTGATTTACCGCTTCAGCCGTTTCCAGCATCAGCCGCGACATTTATTAATAAACCTAATCCTAAACTTTATCTTTAATGCTAAAAAGAACCCAAAAAATATCCTTCAAAAAATTTTAAATTTTTCTTAAAAAACAGAAAAATTTTGTTTTTGATTAGATTTTATTTTAATCTGTAACAATAATTAATTAAACTGACTAATCAGAATCAAATTAGGATAATCACATCATATATGAATAAGATGTCTACTAAGTAAAAAATATTATATAATAAATAGCACATCCTGTCAAAGCAAAAAATATTGACCACCGTTCAGTAAATTTTAAATGGTCTAGCTGTCCAACTGGTACCCTAACAGTTTCGCTAGGCCAAACGTTCTGTTGAAGAAATTCTTTTTTCGGGAGAATATATTTAAGTTTTGTAGTTGGTGGAAATAGAAGAGATAACGGAAGTGGCGTTGGTGCAAATAACGGAGCTAATAATTTAATAGGTACAAAATATTATTATAGTTGTTTTGAAAATACTAACCATTGTGAATAATTTCTAATAAAAACCTTGTCCGTTATCAACCATATTTTCGCATGCATATACGACTAAAGGCCATGGAGCCGAAACGACGGCATGACTTCTTTGCGAACCTTCAGAGTTTGCTGGTTGATATCGCATACGAAATGGTAGGCTGAACTCAAATATATTGTCTTGTCTTACAAGGTGTTCTTTAGCTAAAACCATGCTACCCCATTTTAATGAGGTAACACCAACAGGATTTTCTAAATCTTTTTCTCCAAAAATTTGTATATGACTATCAGAAAAAAGCTCATTAATTTGATAGGTATCAACTAAAAAAGAATTAGGAAATATGTGAAGGATATAAAATTCACAATTGGGTTGCGAGGCAGACAAGGTTATCGACGTCTTGAATGATCGATGAAAGCCTTGAGCTGGTGTTACGCTTGAATTGAAATAAAACAAATCTGATGGAAGAGCCTGTTGTGAGGCGGTTATCATCGTTGGAACTAAGTCGTTCAACAAATAAGAAATTATGTGTGTTAAAATCGAGCACAATTTTATATCTGACTACAAGCACACTAAAATATTTACTACCAGAATTACTATCATCCTTATCTATTACAGTCCTTTCTCCGATAAATGTCTCAGAATCAAGTTGTGGTCCAAAAACACCCAATTCTACTCTATCTTGTTCATTTTCTTTAATAATATATATATCTTGATTTTTACAATTCCATACCATTCTCAAATCAGTGATGATTTGATTTGTCTTTTCGTCAAATCTCAAATCAAAATCTAAGATTGAAGGTCTATTATATTCTTTAAAGTATGTATTCTTTCCTAATATAGAAGTTCGTGTGGGTAACTGATGATAGAGTGGAAGAGAAGAATGTAGATATATGTGTCCATCCGGAAGCAATATAGAATGCGAAATATCGAAATTATGCTTTAAATTCGTATATATAATATATAATATATATTATATATTAATTTTCTAAGAATTCAACATCATATTAATTGTTCGTATATGTAAAGTACCAACCATTTTTTGTAGAGGTTGTCCACTATCACAAATAATATTGCCAAATAATGCGTCGAGATATTTACATATAGTTAAAAATTCTACCTCTCTAAAATTTAGCCTATAAATATCATATTACTAACGTGAATTTAATTAAATCAATTAATAATAATGAATTTCAAGTTATACCCATGAGAAAAAGTTTCGTTATCATAAGATATTCCAATATGAATACCAGAAGTCGGTGCAATATTAAAAGGGTGCGATGGGCCTTGACCTCCAGACGCGATCTGGACACGTACTTTCCAGTCCTTATTCCAAACCGGAAGAGTCTGGTGGCTCACCTAGCATGTTAGTAAGATTTATAAGTCCACGTTGAAAAAATAGATAAAGTTTAAATCAATTGACAAAGCAATTAATACCACCTTGACGAAATCATCGAGTGGAGTCAAGACCTTCCATTCTCGAGTACCGGTAAAATTTTTCACGCGAATTTTTCTCGGTTCCAAATTCTGAATAGTTTCTTCTGTAAGTGAAGATAATACGTCTTCGTCAAAAAAAAAAGTATGACGATGTCTAGAATATGCTGAGACTGTATGTATAGAAAATGATAACGCAAATATAACGAAAAAAAGTTGAAGTAAATTGGAATTCATCACCGATAGTTTTCTTAGCGTGTTTTTGAAAGATTCGTAATTATGTAGTACGATTCAAAATCATATGATCTACATATGAAGAGGAAAGGTTTATTGCTCTAATCTTAACGTTAAATCATCGGGAGTTTTAATTCAATTTTCATCAAGTGAGTTTCTACATAAGGTTCTTATATGGGAAAACAGACTTCGGGAACCAACCCCTGAAAAATCTGATTAACATTCCTTATCGTTATTCGTGGGCTCCAAGTACGTATATACATATTTGGCGATAACTTTTTTTTTATCAATTAATTTATACAATATCAGGTATTATTCAACTACGAATGTCAATATTTGAATACGTGCGATAGTATTGCGTGTTATTATTAAATTTATGCGACATATAACATTTTCTTGTACGTAAAGTACCTCAGACAATATTTGAACAAAAAGTTACCATACCGGCGGATTTGCGGAATTGGGCCTAAATTAGAGTCCCCGAATTTAACAACATGTCATATGTAGGGTGCATAATACATTGTTAGAGATGGCAAAAAAAAGATTATTTATTTAAATACGTATATCGATATGGTGTTTATAATTTAATATGTTTAAACATCGCATACTAATATTCGGACCATAAATATCACCTGATTTAAATCAATAAAATCTTCTTTTTGCTATCTCTTCACATTGTTAAAATATATAGACCCTAATTTAGGTCCAATTTCGCAAATCCGCTAATATGCACTGAATAATGCAGTATTCTACTTTAAAACAATTAATTAAACCCTTTTAGAATTGAGTATTTATAAACTATATACAACTTTATACTATACTGTATATATTGTACTATATATAATTATAAAGATACACTATTTTAATAAAATAATTTTAATTTGTAAAAAATTTATTAAATATCAATTAAATTTAAATAATTTTAATTTTGCCTAAGTGAAAAAAAATAATAATTTTAATACGTATTATAATACTGTATATACAGTATTTAATTTATTATTAAAATAAATTTAATATAATCAAGATTACAGATATAGTATATATTGTATATTTTAATTAATTAAAAAAATACTATATATAGTTATTATAATATAAATAAAATTTTGAAAAATTATTATTAAACTTTTATATAGTATTGCTATAGTTAACTCTAAATATACTGTACTAAACTGTATATCTTAAGAAGTTTTGTTTAATAAAGTATATAAATTTATTATTAAATATAATAGTTTAGTATTATATTAATATAAGATAACTTTTTTTAATAATTTTTTAGTTAATAACAATTATATTAAATTACAACAAATAATATAAAAGTAATAAAGTAAATATAACAATACTTTTGGTTTTGTATAAACAAACTTAATATCAACAAAGCTTATAATATATAAAATATCAAAAAGCAGGTATATAAGAATATTAAACAAATTTGTGTTCTTGATCAAGCTTTTTTTTGACAAACTTTCTTGCATGTTTAGTATTCAAACTAGAAGTTTTATTTTAAACCAAATAGAGCAAAAGTTTTTAGTTAAGAATATTAATTAAAAACTAAAAAGCTAGAATATATAACTATAAAATTTATAAAAAGAATCTTATATACTAAAGATTAAAACTAATTTTAATAATTTATATTTAGGTATGACCTCACCTTTGAAGATTAAAAAAAAAAATAATAATTCATGTTTATCATATAAATTTTGTGATATTTTAGAATTTATTAAAATTTAATTAGACTAAATTTTAAAATTTCATAAAATTTATATAATAAACTCAAATTATTAAAACTAATTCTAACCTTTATTATATACTTTTATTAAAGTTTTTAAAATCAAATCAAATTAAATATTAGATTAATTTGAATTTAATCAAATCAAATTAATCTTGATTTGAAGTTGTTTAAATTTGAAATTTAAAATTTTTTTTTAAAATAAAATTATGCTTCTGATTTTTATTAATATATTAAATCTTTGTGAATTACTAATTATATATATATTAATTTTTTTATATAAAATTATATAGACTAAGACCCTGTATTGCTATATTACAATATCTACAATTTAGCTAACTTAACTTCAGTAACTTATACTAAATTTAAAGACAAATACTTGTAAGCTAAAGCTGCTATTATTACTTATTTCTGCCTTTGTAGAGTTTATCCAAACCTCAGCACCTACTATACAAACTATTTATTATTTTTTTAGTTTTCCAAACTCTCAATCCAGATAGTTCAAGAAGGCAAACCTTTTCCTCTGATATATACTAACAGCCTGGTTGGTATAGTGCCTTATCAAACATCTCAGTTCTGTCTGGTTTCTGTTTCTTTAGTTAATAATCCTTTATATAGCACCATCAAAAATCTGCACTATTTCTCTACTCAGAACTTGCTAAGCAAACTCTGTATATCCCAGCTTTTGGATTTACTCAGCTGCTTTATTCAGATTTTATATAACTCATATATCATATTAAATGTTTTATAACCTCCTAATATAAGCTAGTATAACCTAAGTTATAGATCTAATGATCCATCAGATTATATACAGTTTGTCATAATATATTTTATAAAATTCAAATTTTATTGTTAGTGAGATTCGAACTCTTGTTCTACTACTTGGAGATGCAACAACTTACTAACTTCACTAAGTCATCATACCTTCAAAATTAGATTTATTATATATAAACTATTACAAAAATCCTAATAAGCTTAGAATTCTGTAATTGAATTTTAATAATTTTAAATTTAATAAAATCATTTTATTAAAATAAACAGTTTGACAATTAAATAATCCAAAACAAACTAGTAGATTAAAAGTTATTTAATTTTTTAATAATTATCGTAGATTAAAATAAAATCTGATTAAAATGAAACTGGAGATCTCTCATACCCACTTTTAGAGTCTATAAAATCTATATATACTTATTTATTGTTGCGGCTGAAGCTGGAAACGGCTGAAGCTGGAAATTTTAAATATTTTAATATGAAATTTTCAAATTTTTT